ATATATATATATATACACATATATACGCCTTATACATAAAAATCACACCTAAACCTGCATATATTACATTTCTACCACTTTACAACTTACAGGCGGCACAATATTACCATTGTACTCTGAGCCTGGTAAGACCATCGTAGAAACGCGAGATCATTCGCCAATGATGCTCTTGGTTGCACTTGATGGAGAGGGAAGGGTATGTTTCCCAAACCATTTTATGTGTATTTCTCACACATACAGGTATTTGATTATGGGCAAGTACATTCCGTACTCAATGGGGTTTGAAGTACAATGTGATTTTCCAACTAGACTTTTCTTTGCAAATCGTATTGGTTTGTGTTAATAGGGACTTAAGCCGTTCTCTGCTACATGGATAGTTGCCGGGTGCACTCGATGAGGAGGGCCAGTGTTATTGTCCAATCTACTGTGTGTCAAGTACGGATGCGTTTATTATTTGAGTGTACGTACGTAAATTCGGGATTGAGTGTTTTCTCAAGGTTCAGCAGTACAATTGGACTTATATATAATGTGGAAGACGAACTTCTTCAAACTATAGTCAAGCGCTAGTTAAAAAACACCCTCCGATAGTCCACTGTATATAGACGGAACGGGAACTCTATCTGGGCGACGAACAATCGGTACATGGCTTCATATAGCGTGACAATGGCCTTCAAATGCACCTGTCATACATCAACACACAAATAATTGCTAATATATGAACACCCATATATATAGGCAGAAGCCGAACTCTTTAAACTGCACATTCTTAACCTTTTTATGTATATTATATATATAGGCGGAAGGAGAACTCTACCTGGATGACGGAGAGTCTATACATGCTTCAGACAGTGTGAAGGTGACCTTTATGGCCTACGACAGTCGTATGAAGATCCAGGCCACTCGAAACAACAAGGCGTGCCTTCGAGTACAAGGTACGTTGTTACGCGTAGATATGCATGCTCACAATTGCAAAAACCTTTGCATGTCTACATCCCGATACGAATATTTCTGTGTAAACATATCTGTATAATGTGTCTATATAATGTGTTTATATATATATAATGTGCCTATATAATGTGTTTATATAAATATAATGTGTCTATATATTGTGTTTATATATGTGTAATGTGTCTATATAATGTGTTTATATACATATATATATATATATGTGTCTATATAATATGTTTATATATGTATATGGTGTCTACATAATGTGTTTACATATATATAATGTGTCTCCCATTTTTTGCTACAGGGGATGAAGAGGACAATATGAATCCTTTCATAACTAAGATTATTCTGATCGGCGACCTCAAACGTGTCGGCAACGAGCATGTGCCCCCTACCTTGCAGGTGTGTATCTATATATGCATATTCAAGGATTTATTCTTCATATTCGTATCACATATTATATATATATGTACACACACACACAC